CATAGGCAAAGCTTTTTTCCTTCATCTTCTGTCCTGCAGCTGGATTCAGCAGGATAATGTCATTGCTCACCTCAGGCATCCAATTTCCAGACTGGAGGCTTAAGCTGCAGCAGCCTGAAAACCAAGTAATTTCTTTACCACATTAAAAAATATCTCAGTTCCCTGCATACAGTTATTAGGCAATTTTTCTGTAAACACTTCAGATCGCTTTAAAGCTTCACAGTGGCAAGGTGAATAATATGACTTCTGGAACAAAAGAAAAGGCAAATCCACTAAGTAACTCCAATATTGTGTTGCCAGCCTACGCCGAACCCAAGCGCCTCAAAACCCACCCAGCAAAAGGACCTTTCTAGCTAATAGAGCTCTGAGGCTCACAAGACACATCTTCATGAAAGCCCAGTCCCCTATTCCTCACGCAGACAAAATTCTTGTCTATACCAATGGAATATTAATCTTCAAAACCCACTGCAGGATCTGTCTGGGCACATCACCTTTTTGATTAGTTTTTCCTCCCTTTCTTTCCTAAGTTATTATGGAATCAAAGAAATATAAAGAAAAAAACGAAAAATCTGTTACATCTTTCTCTCTGCATCTGGTGATGTAATATGGTCCGTGGTTAGGAAATAAGTTCATTAAAAGAGTCTGAGTTCTTTCTCTTTCTTTTTTTTTTTTTTTGCTAGAGATCCTTAAATAACTTATTGTCTGCACACTGCAATTTTAACTTCCCACAGAGAAGCCACTGAAAGCTAAAAGACTTACTTACTAAGGTTTCAAAGCCTCATATTCTGTAGTTGGCCAATGTTAGAGGCTTCTTGTGCAACTGAGTAGGTGCATTTGGGATATGCATTACGACGGGATCGCTTACTGGCTTGTTTTTGTTTTGGTTTTCTGCAAGGCCCCTGCCCTTTTCAATGCACAGAAATACAACATTACAGGCTAGAGAAACAGCTCCACTGCCAAAAAAACAGGTTCAGGCAACCATGTCCTGTTTTTCAGGGACAACCTTCTACCATTAGTCACAAAAACATCAGTTGTCACTGCAGCACACTCCCAACCCTGGATTCATGTTCCAGTTTCCCTACGCAGACATGCTTTCTTGGTGCTGGAGCAGCTGCATTCACAAAGCGCCTCTGTGAACTGGCGCGTTAGCAGCTTGCAGCCCAAAGAGACAGTCTTGCCTCTGGACTCTTGTACGCCCTCTGTGCCAAAAATGTGGCTCGGAACACACCTGGCAGAAGTCATGTTCCCAGCTGCACACGCCATAGAACAGCCTGAATTGCACTTCATGTTTGAGCACAATGTGTAAACGGGGCTGCAAAGGCAGGTACATTCAGGCAAACAGGTGAGCATAGCCAAATATTTTAACTTTGTAGATGATGTGCCAGCTTGCCATCCCTCCCTCGCTACCCCTTTGCTAGCGCAGTCACACAACCACCGTCTGCTCTGCTCCTTATTGCCCCAGCTACACTCAGAATAGTGATGAGGGGAGGGAGGTAACCCCAAGTCCAACCTCAGCGGTGTGTGTTTACAGGGTGAATTCTTTGGTGAAGTCAGGACTGTGCAGTGTCACTTTAGAGCATGTGTTTTACTGGGGTTCCTCAAAGGCACACTGTACATGCTGAGACTCAGTGCGCTTACTTATTAGGTGGCCTTGAACTTCATGGGGTGCATCAGAGGAGCTAGCAGTGTTAGAAAATCTAGAAGCACCTTACCTGTAACATGCAGCTACCCTAAAAATTGGACTGCAAGTTCTTTATAGGCCTTCTAAGAAAAGACTTGGTTTACCAACTACAATTTAGCTACCTGTTCCCCAAAGGAAAACCTGGGCTTCTTGTCTTCACCTTGAAGTCCCTATCCCTGACAGGATTAACAGCTAATCTGGCTTCTTCAAGACCCTAGAGTAACTCTGATCAGAGTTAATCTATGACATGATACTGAGGTGGCTGCAGGAGCTTGCTCAGGTAGCATTAAAAAGCAGCTGGTGTACTGTGCAGACCAGCGATTGTCAAGCTGTTTAGCCAGGGCCCCGCTTTTCTTCTGCAATAGTCGTTATCTTTGGACTGGCTGCCCAAAATAACATTCCAGAGATTGCTCCAGCTTGTTCTTCACATATCCTGGGATGAAATTCATCAGGCTTAGCTGATCTGAAAACATTCAACCAGCAAGAGACAGGAGATGAGGTTAACAAGAAATTAAGCTTTAAATATATATAAGGAAAATGTTAGTTTACTACCCAAAGAGGAAAAGCTATTGATACATGATGCTATAAAAATTATATATTATCCTTGTTCTAGGAAAAATAAAAAAGCAATGTAGGAGCAGGTGGCAGGCATAGTAAATACTAGCGCAAAAGAGATTTGGGGGAAAGACCGAGTTTTGTGAGTACATACAGTGTTTTCAAGCTGGTTCTGTTTGCTAAACTTCACACCAAGTTGATCAGAGATCTCCAGGTGTTTCAAAGCAGTTACCTTACACAGTTTGCAGAAAGCAGGTGAGCCTGGCAGAGTGCAAATGTTAAAAAGCTGCCTGGGTTACTACAGCCAGAGAGTACCTAGGAATGGTTCACAGTTCAAATGAAAGGATATACTGAGTGAGGATCCAAGAGATTTGTGCTTTTTGAGATATATGAAGAAGACACACATTAATTTCACAGGGCAGAAAAGACAAATGGTGTTGTCTAACAGTGAGACAATTTTAAGACTGATTGAAATCCTACTGAAGCCCATGGAAATACTTTCACTGATTTCAGTACAAGTTGGGTCAAGGGCTCTTGGTTTAAAACAATGTGATTGCATTTACGAAAGATTAACAATACATAATGATCATATCATATTAACTAAGGGCATTGGAATAATTTCTTTTAGCTGGGTTAATCTCTGCTTAACCCTCTGGAATGGCATTCCAGAGGTTTGTGCAAACCATATTCAAAACAAGTCCTTCAGAAGCAGACCCACTTTATTAATGTTTTTGACCACATCTCTATAGCAGTAAGCCTTTGTGGTTCAACAGAACCTGGTGCACTCAGAGGTTTAAGGATGCATTTTGGAGAGAAAGAGCCTGATCACATTAATCCATGTGACAACAATGGCACAATCGAGGAGTTCAGTTGTGAATAAACAGAATTTAACTGAATCAATCTCAAGCTCAGACAAGAAAGTAATTTTTATAGTAAATTATTATATCGACAATAAACAGTGCAATGATTGATGCTATGGAAGAAATGCTTTAAAGCGTAGGAAGAGAAAAACAATCTAGAATGTAGGCCAAACTATAAGGCATTCAAAATGGAAAAAATCAAGGGGATAGCTCTGGGTGGAAAAGATAATGTGAAACAGATCCTCCTATGTAGGGGGACACCTAGAAAGACGGCAAGAGGAGAAGGGCAGGAGGCAAAGTGCACATTTGCAATGATTTACAACATGGAGGCCAATACTGTACTCCTCCTTTCCTTCTAGCTAGCCCTTAACCCACAAGCTGCAAAGCACTGATATCATCCAGCCTTCCACATTTGTCACCTGCACTTTGCATAGTGACGCCCTGTCCTCATTTAACATGTCCACTCTGACTGCATGATATCGCCAGTGTTCCCCACTACCACATCAGTCTTCTCACAGTTGTCCCCAGTGCCATGGAAGACTCTGTGACCCTGACACAGATGTTTTCCCAGCTGGCTTCAAGGATCTCTGTGGTACCAATGCTGCAGCATCAATACACCCCAGAGCATGGCATCACCACAGTACTGATAAGCCCAAACACCTGCAGCACCTTGTGCCACTGATATTTCTGCCTCTCCCCAGCACTGTCACCTCTGAGCACCCTGCACTGCATGAGACCAACACCCTTACCCCTGCCAGGGTGTGCTAGAAATATCCCTGTGCACAAGAACACAAGGTTTGAGTACCCCTATGACCCACCTTACCTGAGGCAGTGAATAACTAACTCTGTTCCTCACTGCTCCATGATGCCCACCAAGGCATCAGTACCTCCACATACCATCCCAGAGGTGATACTCTCCACTGACCCACAGACCTCAGATCCCTTGTGCTCCTCCATACCATTGCCCTCTATCAATGCCCTTGCTATGCTGCTTTCACTTCCATACCCATTCTCTTCATAACCATGGCTCAAAGCTGCGTCAGGTGAGGTTCTGACTAGATATTAGGAAGCATTTCTTTACCAAGAGGGTGGTCAAACACTGGAACAGGCTTCCTAGAGAGGTGATCGATGACCCATGCCTGTCAGTTTTTAAGAGGCATTTGGACAACGCCCTTAATAACATGCTTTAACTTTTGGTCAGCTCAGAAGTGGTCAGGCAGTTGGACTAGATGATCGTTCTAGGTCCCTTCCAGCTGGAACTACCCTACACTATCTTATCCTATCGCTTTTATCCCACAGCGTTACTCAGGTCCAAAGGACTGGTACTCTCTTTGGTCTCCAATAAGCCCAGTAATCTCCCCTCCCTGATTGTGTCAATACCTGACTGCTCTCCTCTGTGTCCTTGCTACAGATGTTCTCCAGGATCTGCTCCGAGCCCAGAAGCGCTGACTCCCACTCCTGCTCCACATCAGTCTCCTTGCGTCCTGCAGGGCCAACGTCCTCCCAGGAGCTGTCACAGCACTGCATAGTCCCAATGACATTACACCCAGGGGAACTATTAGTATTGATCCCTAACACCTTTTCTCCCCTAAATAAGACAACAGCAAGGTCCCTTTTATCCCTAGAGAATAAAGCATTTCCCTTTCTACCTCAAGCCTCACTGGATTTATATTCTGTTATGCAGTCGGATGATCCATGATGTTCTTACCTCAAAGTCCATCAGAACTTCCCTAGTCCTGCAGCACGTAGAGTTACACTGCCCAGCGTCCCCATGTCCTCTGATGCCCCGATAGCTTTCCCCACCCCACTTTAAAAGGTGGTCGCAAACCCCAGCTGCTCAGTACTTGTGTCCGTAGATACCAGCGCTTTTTCTACCCATTTACCGAGTTCGTACTCTTTGCGTGATGCCTTTACGCCCTGTCCCTTTGAGCATTAATATTTCTAAGTACCCCTTCCACTCACACGCTGAAATCTCTCCTGGGACCCAAAGGCAGCAGCAATCCCCTCGGGCCCCATGCCTGACGGACGGGCAGACCCCAGGCCCTTTGAGCCTCAGTGTCCCGCACTGCAGCATTTACACCTCCATCGGAGGCGCATCGGAGACCCCTTCCCTCACAGCATGGGCCGTGCTGGGGCCTGCCATCTTCCCGTCAGACTCCCTCCCTGCCTCCTATTGCATCTCTTGTCCCCTCCGCGTACCCCGTGGAGTTCGTACTCCCCTCTCTTTCCACCGTCCCACCGCGTCCCGCCGCATTTGTAACCCCCTCCCCATGCCACACCGCCTTCGTCGTCCCCCCCAAATGTCCCACCCACGGCGTCTAGTCCCCTCGTGCCCCGCTGCGGTTGCAACCCCCCGACTACCCCACGCTCTCCCACAGAGATCCGCTCACCCCGTGTCCCCTCAGACCTCGGTCACCCCCCCAAAACCTCGGGACCCCCCGCGGCCCCCCACCACCGGGCCGGGCCGCCCCTCACCTGCCTCCTCCCCGCCCGCGGGCGGCGCGGCCTACTCCTCCCGCAAGGCCGCTTCACGTCGCTATGGCAACCGCTTCCCGCGCCCCCCCGCCCCTCCGCCGGAGGCCGCCAGCCAATCAGCTCCTACCAGCAGGGTTGGGGAGAGGGGGGGGCCGGGAAGGCAAAACGGCCGGAGGTTCCGATCTACCTAGCAACCTGTTCTGATTGGCTCGTTCGCTTCGGGGAGGGAGAGGGGCGGGGCGCGGCAGGGCGTGACGGCGCGAAGGGGGCGGGGCGGAGGCGCGGGGCGGG